ATATATATATATATATAAGTGGGCCTAAGTGGGCTTGGCCTATTTTTTTGTTTAAATTTTTTATCTAAGGTAATTTCTTGTAAATTATATTATATAGTTGTAACTTAAATTTTTTAATTCAAATTTAAAATACAAAATATTGTAAAAAGATATTCAATGGAATGCGTTATAATTTTTATTATTATGACATTAACAAAACATGGCCCAATCTTTCTTAGTCTTCACCCCCCCTTCCCCTAATGGAATGAGCACAACAAGGTGCTAATACCACCATTGAGAAGAAAAAAAAATTAATCAAGATGTGCCAAAATATAAGTTAAATATTAATTTTACATGGTATCTCTTACAAATTTCATAAATCCTTCAAGGTTCGGAGGAATTTACGTTGGTCGTGGTGGAAAAGAAGCTTGTTCATCACTGCTTCCGGGCGAAGCTGCATCCTCCGCAAGTTCAGCTAGCATTTCTTCGTAAGCTTCGTCTACCTCTGGTTGTGATTCTGTAAGTCCAAAATTTCTTCGTTCCCAACGGATCCAATCTCTGAGAAGTACTCATTTTTCCAAGCTCTCCCTCATAGACGCTCTATATTCACCAAGTTAAAGTCTTGCTTGACTGAAAGCGCTCTCCGATGCCACTGTTGAAGCTTGAATGGGTAAAATGTCTCGGGCCATCCTTGAAAGTATCGGAAAGTATTTTTCTTTGTCCTTTCACCATTCCAAAAGATTAAATGAGCCTTCACTTCCTCAAGTCCCTATGACAAATAAACTTTAAGCTCATTTAGTTGTGAACAATCACTAGTGCTACAACCTTGAGAACCCCTGAACCCGGTCCAAGCAGTAAGTGCTCTTACTCCTGCAGTTCTTTTAGATGATTGAGAACTAGAAGAAGAAGGAGTTGGAACATTTGGTCTAGCATTATCTATTGCAATTTGATAAGCACTATAAATAGTTAGAGCATTTATTTTAATTGAGGCTTGTGCATCCGAAAGTGTAGACAACTCCTCATCTTCAAGTGCTAAACCATTATAAATAGATTGATACCAATATTGAGGATATGCTAATTTCATAGTAGGATTTAACAAGGCAGCAACACCATAAATAGGGGGAATGGGGAAAAAATATTTTTCAAATTTCTTTCTCATAGAATCAATAATAAATTTCCCACTCTCTGAAAAATAAGCAAACAAATTTGCAAGTTCTGTAAGATTAACTAAACAGTTAGAAATAGTAGGATAATATTGCCCAGAAAATTCATTTGTAGCAACATGAAATCTTTCTAAAAAATCTACTGTCACGACCTAAAATCCACTAAGGGTCGTGATGGCGCCGGACACTACTGTCAGGCAAGCCCACCAAATTACTTAATCAAATTCTCGTTTTATTTCTTTTGAAAACTAGGATATTCCTTCAAATTTAGCAATTTTTAAAGAATATAGTCTCAAATCAAATTTTAAATGATAAGCAGTTAATACAATACTTCAAACCATCCCAGAACTCGGTGTCACAAGTGCATGAGCATCTACTGTCAAGAAAATAAAATAAAACATCCGTCCGGAATACAGTGGACAGGAAGTAAATACAGTACACTGGAAGGGACTGCTCTAGCTGCGGCCGTCTCGAATGATGCAGCTCACCTAGTCCTAGAATCATCCGCGCTGCTACGCCTAGTGGGCTGCTAGAGATAAATATACCTGTGCAACAAAAATGCACAGAAGTGTAGTATGAGTACGTAAACAACGTGTACTCAATGAGTATCCCGCCTAATCTCGAAGAAGTAGAGACGAGATGGTCAACTTCGACACTTACTAGAGGTCAATTGACAATATACTAAAAATGTGAGGAAATCATGGATTTATATAGCAGTTCTAATTCACGAAGCCAGAAAACAGGTAAACACCTTCAGCAAATAGTCAAGGATTTTCAAGGTTTTCTCTTTATTATCTTATTAATTTATATCAAGCCACGAAGGGCAAATTTCACATTTAAAATTCTCAAGCAACAATATAACATGCGCAAATCACACCGAGGCGACGGCCCGATCCAACAGAAATAAACTGTGCACTTGCCGAGGGTTGACGGCGCGCCTATAGATGCATCTATTTAAATCTGCCGAGGCGTTCGGCCCGTTCCATAAATAAACACATATCCTGCTCGCGAATTATGCATGCGACGCAGGTACACACAGAGATACATGCTCAATCAGTCAATTAAGAACTTATCGGGAATATTTATCCAAATAAATAGTTTCTCTTTTTAACAATTCAGGAAAAATGATGTTTAATCTCCTTTTAAATTCATTTACTGATCCAAGGTGATTTAAGCAATTCAAGCTATCAATAGGTTCATAAATAATCCAAGTATAACATGCTTTTGGGCCCTAACTACCCGGACAATAGCATAATAGTAGCTACGCACGGACTCTCGTCACCTCGTGCGTACGTAGCCCCCGCAAATAGGAGCACATAATCAATTATTTCACCTATGGGGACAATTCCCTCTTACAAGGTTAGAAAGGAGACTCACCTTGCTCCGAAGATCCATAACCGGCATTCCACGCCCTTCTGAAGACTCCAATTGATGCACCACGCTCCAAAACTAGCCAACGGTTACGCAAATCCATTAATATATGCTCAAATATTCGTTACAATCTAATTTATAGAAATTCCTAACTCCGATCGAAAAGTTGCCCAAAACGC